GATTTAAGAGATGTGTCTTATTTTTAAATATAATTATTTCAAATTTTTCGTTAAGACATAGATAACAAGGGGAATATAGGGAATTACTTGTTCGAGTTCTCTTGATTTATTTCCATTTAACAGTAGGTCTCTTATTCTTCTCTTTAAACTCCAAAAATACTTGCATAATGAAGTCATGTACTTATAATTACTACTATTGAAAGACTGCATATGTCCCTTACATAGTTATATTTATGGATATTTAATGCGTTCTTAAATTTAAAACTTTGTAAACTTAATGATATCTTTTTTCTTCTGTTTATAAATACAATTTGAAAAATAAAATCCTTATATTTATGTTAATAAAGTCCATCAGGGGCTGAATGTAAAGAAAAGATTTATTTTTTTTATTATTCATAATAGAGAAACATTTACAATAGAAATGCATTGCAAATGAGGAAGAACTGGATTGTCAGCGGTCAGGAATTAATGTAAGCATTACTGTCAAAATAAGGATATTATGTGTATAATAGATAAACATTTAATGTCTTTTAGATAATTCGAACACGCCTTACACTTAAAATATTTATATCCTTGATTCGATTTCCATTGTCTTCAGGTTTGGCTGAATCTGGCTCTTGGGGCTGCTTTGATGAGTTCAACCGTATTGAGCTGCCTGTGTTGTCTGTCGCAGCACAACAAATCGCTATTATTCTTACTTGTAAGAAAGAAAGGAAGCATACGTTTATATTTACTGATGGTGACACTGTTGAAATGGACCCGGAATTTGGACTTTTCCTCACCATGGTAATGGCCACACTCCTCTCTCTCTCTTTCTTTCTCTCTCTCTCTCCATTTATAATTAATTCAATCTTATCAAAGTTGAAAATAACGTTGACAGTATTGAAGGGTTGACTCTGAATATAATCTATCATTATAAAAAACAAATAAATCCATTGCTCGGTTAACTATTATGAAAGTTGGTTCACCGTGTCGTGCGAGACAGTTTTCACTTAAGAATCTGTCTTGCATATCTATAAGTCTACCATTCGTCCATGCTTAGAATATTGCTGCCACATATGCTCTGGTGCACTTACCTACTATCCTTGATAAGATCCAATGATGTATCAGCAATATTATTGGTCCTGATCTGGCAGATCGGCTTCAGTTACTTTACCATCGCCGTAAAATTGCCTCTCTGTGCCTTCCTTTCAAGGTAATTGTTCGGATGAGCTCCTAGCTATGATGTCCAGGCATTTTTAATTAAAGCTCAGTACTACACTGACGTCGAGATACCATCAATTTACAGTTGAAATGACAAGTTATAGCCGCAAGTTCTATGCTAACAGTTTCTTTTCTCGCACTTCTCACTTGTAGAACTCGCTTCCGGCTCCATGCTTTCCAGCCAACTTTAATCTGCAAAACATAAAATGCACCGTCAATCGCTATCTACTGTCCACCTGATTAATATTTCGTCTTCCCGCTCATGATTAATGTTTCTGTTCCTAATTCTTCCACGCCCTGTCACCTCTTAATGGTGTTACACATTAACAAAATAAATAAAAATAAAACAAAACCTGGTATGGTATTTACTAAGCTTAGCTTAATCGAGTACGAGAGTACAAATGAAGGGGGCATGCATATATATATATATATATATATATATATATATACTACTCGACTCTCCCGTCGAATACGACGTATGAGGGTTTCTAGGAAACCGACAGCCCGACAACAGCACATGAGTGGTGAAGGTTTCGTGCAGGACCACACTTTTTGAAGGTGCCACAGGGTACCCAAACGACTCTCCGCAGGTTTTAAATTCAGAGTTGTCCTCCTTCTAGACCAGTTGCCATCCAAGGCTCTAGAACCCAGTCTGTCTATTTACCCATAGATGGAGCGAGAAGAGGAGGATTCATGCCTTTCCCAAGGCACGAATGGATTCGAGTGGAATTCCAACTCGGCTCTCCGATTCCTCAATCCAAACCGCTATCCATTACTCCACCGTGTCTCTATCTATCCGAGAAGTTATTATTTAATTATTCATTTATTTATTATTTAATTTTTTTCTTGTGTATTGGAAGATTTTGTGTAGGTGTTGAAATGGGTATATTTGTGTATTGTCTGGTGAATATGACAAAATTTTAGACTAACAAAAAAAAATGAACACATCTACCCGACAAATGAGCACAAACAGCAAGAATTAAAACTTTCGAAATATATCAGCGTTTGCCCTCATCACTTTAGTTACTCAATTTTTGTCTTTTACTTTAATTGGGGGAATGTGTATGACAATGTGGAAAAAGATTTCGTGTGACGCGTTTCATCTTTTAGAACTTCATCGGACTAGTCTGATATGAAGGCCTATAGGTCGAAACGCGTTACGGAAAAAGTTTTCGTGTGACGCGTTTCGTCCTTTAGGACTTCATCGGACTAGTCTGATGAAGGCCTATAGGTCGAAACGCGTCACGGAAAAAGTTTTCGTGTGACGCGTCTCGTCCTTTAGGACTTCATCGGACTAGTCTGATGAAGGCCTATAGGTCGAAACGCATCACGGAAAAAGTTTTCGTGTGACGCGTCTCGTCCTTTAGGACTTCATCGGACTAGTCTGATGAAGGCCTATAGGTCGAAACGCGTTACGGAAAAAGTTTTCGTGTGACGCGTTTTGTCCTTTAGGACTTCATCGGACTAGTCTGATGAAGGCCTATAGGTCGAAACGCGTTACGGAAAAAGTTTTCGTGTGACGCGTTTCGTCCTTTAGGACTTCATTGGACTAGTCTGATGAAGGCCTATAGGTCGAAACGCGTCACGGAATATATTATTTTACGGTGTTTTTTTAAAGGAAGTCTGTAGTGTATATCATGGTACCTAAAGTTGTATTAAGTTTAAAAAAAAAATACTTTTTGTTCTGCAGAATCCTGGATATGCAGGACGACAGGAACTTCCTGAAAATCTTAAGATTAATTTTCGCACAGTGGCAATGATGGTACCCGACCGTGGAATAATTATGCGAGTGAAAATGGCCAGTTGTGGTTTCCAGCAGAATTTAATTCTATCAAAGAAATTCTTCACACTTTACAAACTGTGTGAAGAACAGTTAACAAAGCAGGTATGTCTTTGGTTCCTTAGGGCACTTTTAGGGTTTCGAAACGGTCAAGAGACTTAACAAACAAGGGATGAATAATCGTCCTATTTTGATACATGATAAAAAATGGAACCGTATTTTCGTGTATGGTCGGTAAGAAGTAACAAGGAAAGCGAGAGACTAGTTAAAACTGACAGAATAGAGGTAAAAGGAATCATATACTTCAATATTTTACAAAGGGGATAAAATTTAATAAAAAGGGGCATATTAAAACCAAATAACAGGAAAATATAGTTAGTTTTGTTACAGTTTTTTTGTGTATATGTTATGTACTAGTGAATTAGTCAAAATGCCTTGACTCACTTTATAGTCCACCAATAGAAGGTTAACCAATCAGAAGGCGTAGAACATTCAATCCATCGTGTATAAAGGCGGCCATTTTGTTTACTCTACCCGAATGTCCAGTCCAGTTTGTCAGACGAAGAGAAACAGAAGGACGAACTATGCTATGCTACCTTTTACCAAAATATCCACTGCTAACCTGAACAACGCTTTCCTACTGTCTTCAAAATATTCACTGCTAACCTCTGGATTCTATACTCGAAGACAACCGTCATCATGAACAACAAGTTTAACGTGGTAAATCGAGAAACAAAATGAGAAAATGGCTAAATCGATTTTTATTCCTCAATCGTCACAGCTCTATCGATTACCAAAACAATGTTCGCAGCGAACAAAATAGAAAAGAAACACCAAAAGATAGGTATATATATTATATATATATATATATATATATATATATATATATATATATATATATTTAGGCAACAGACCAAATTGAATCAGACAAGGTGCTTTGATTTCTTTTTATGATTCTCATATGATCTAATATATTTTTCTTTGGGAAGATAAATTATATAAAAAACTGCCCATTTTTTTTTTTTTTTTTTTTATATACTTTTGTCTGTCGTATTTAGCATATATATATATATATATATATATATATATATATATATATATATATATATAAATTGTCCGAATGTTTTTTTCAAGGATTAAATATTTTAACTGTTAAATAAGAAATAGTTTGTTGCATGTATGTTTTATAAATGTTTTCATTTTTCAAAACACGGTCAAGATATTGTGTTCATATTCAAAGTTAATATGATGCTATTATATTAGTGTTGTTGAACATCAAACATTCGGACAGTTTTTATATAATTTATCATCCGAAAAGAAAAAAAATTGGATCACATGAGAAATTGTATAAAAAACAAATAAAAGCACCTTGCCAGTCGTATTCAATGAAATGTGCATGAAAAAAGAATTGCTGCCTAAAAACACACACACACACATATACATACATACATACATACATATATATATATATATATATATATATATATATATATATATATATATATATAAACGATGAAAATAAGTCCAAATTTTTTAACTCTGGTAAAATATTTATCCACTCATTTGTGTGAAATGACTTTGGTCTGAAGATTTGGAATCGAATTTTTCGATTCTAATGAAATTAATATCACCATGGGCTTGATTGATTATTAATAATATATATATATATATATATATATATATATATATATATATATATATAATATGTGAAAATATATAGAAAATAGGAAGGAACTGGTTAGGTAAATAATCCAAAGTCCCTTAGTATTTTAGATATTATTTTAAAAAATAGTGCTCGATACAAAAAGTAGAGCATAAATATAATTATTTATTTAAAAATATGATTCCAAATCACTACATAAGAGGTCTCATGTTTCAAAAGAAGAGGCCGAAAACTTCAATATAATCCTTTAAATTAAATTGAGTTGAAAGTAAAATGGGCTCCGTTCCATCTTCAAGCGAAATTTTGTTCAACAAAAATTTCGCTTGAGGATGGAACGGAGCCTTTTACTTTCAACTCAATTTAATTTAAAGGATTAAATTGAAGTTTTCGGCTCTTGCTTTGAAACATGAGACCTCTTATGTAACGATTTGGAATCATATTTTTAAATAAAATTATATATATATATATATATATATATATATATATATATATATATGAACAAAAAGAGACAAGAAGAAAAACTATATTTAGCGGACGCGTTTCATCTTCTGAGAGATTTTATCAAGGCAATGTAGGATTTATTATATTTCCTTTCATTGCTGGTGTATACACATTTCTTTTCGTGTCCTAACCAGTAATCATATCACTTCGCATGCTTTGGGGTATAAACAACAACAACAAAAAACTCTAAGATCACACACGTTTGGGAAACAGATGATAGTTAGATGGGGTTAAAATAGGAGAATAGGGAGGGTAATCAACCAGTTCGAAGCCACAATCAGGCACAGAAGCCATTGAAACTAATGACTTGTGTACTGGTGCCCTGATGAAATAAAATCCATTTCTTATGTAGCAACAATGCTAGCATGGATTTTCTTCGGGGTTAAACCTTTTTTCTGCAGGTTCTTGACGCAAGCACGATGCCAAATTTTGTCCATTTTCAAGAGAAGTTACTAATAATTACATATGAAGTCTTCTTTGAACAGGAAAATGTCAGTTTACCCGGAAAGTAACAATGCAGTTATTCATAAGAGCAGTTGAAATTAATGCATACAAAATTTCACAGCTCTAGCAGGACTCCTTTTCAGTCCACACTCATATCTATCTATCTATCTATCTATCTATCTATCTATCTATCTATCTATCTATCTATCTATCTATCTATCTATCTATCTCTTTTTGTTGATTTTCAAGAGAATTTGCTACTAGTTACTTTTTAAGATGTCTTTGAACAGTCAGCTGTTATCTGGAAAGAAACAATGCAGTAATTAATGAAAAGAGTTGAAATGCATACAAGGTTTCATAGCTCTAGTAGCACTCCTTCACAGTCAGCCTATGAAGTATTTAGTTAACACTCTTATCTGTCTATCTATCTATCTATCTATCTATCTATCTCTTTTTGTTGACTTTCGAAAGAATTTGCTATTAGTTACTTCTGAAGAATTCTTTGAACAGTCAGATGTAAGTTTACCTGGAAAGAAACAATGCAGCTCTTAATAGTCAACCTATGAAATTTTCAGCCGATCCCGTACATTGATAATATGCTCCTGAGTACAGGAGCAGTTCCATATAGTGATATTTTAAAAAAAGTTTTTTATTATTATTATTATTATTTTTATTATTTTTATTTTTATTTTTATTTTTATTATTATTATTATTATTCCAGGTTCATTACGACTTTGGTCTCCGAAATATCTTGTCTGTGCTAAGAACACTTGGAGCGTTCAAGAGAGCAAATCCACAAGACAGTGAACCAACAATTGTAATGAGGGTCCTCAGGGACATGAATTTATCAAAACTGGTTTGTCTATTTTTTATTCATTTCTCGTGTAGTCCGTGCTCAATATACACATCATTATGACGGCCACGTAATTACTACTGCATATGTTTTGCCTGTAAATATATAATTATTATAACACGCAATTCATTTTCAGAATATCTGTTCGAAACTGAATCATAATAATCATTTAAAAATGTTATTGTTGAAATGTTTCTTTTTTCATAATAATTATTGTTTAAAAACGCCTGATAATTATGCACCAATAATTAAAATTCGCGTTCATTACATATTTAAACGCAAACGTTACGGGGATAATTTATAATTTAAAATCTACCCTGATGATCCTTAAACATAGAGGAGACACTCAAGTAGTTAAGGTATTTTATAGGATGTACCAAAAAACTGTCATTTGCTGTCTAATAACATAGTCAATTCTCGCTCAAATGGTCTCAAATTTTAACGAATGTGTAAAAACTAAGTTGACAATGCAGACGTATCTCAATGAGCAAGATGGTGGATCTGGCGTCCCAGTTATAATGACAATGTGTCTCCACTTTCATCTGACGACATCTTGTGATTTCTTTCTTTGGGCTATTTGAACGAACAGATTGATATCCCTCCTCTTCTTACAAGCCTAGAAGAATTTATGCAAAGAATCACTGAAGCGCTGGCGAATGTTATGCAAGACATGCTACAGCTAGACTACTGACCTGACGTGTGTCCTGTCATAGGTGGTGCTCATATTGAACATTTGTGAAGCTTTGTGAAATTGGTTATAATAAAATCTACATCCATTTGAATAACTTGTTTGAATTTTGTTAAATAAATCTTTTATTATTTTTACATGAAGCCTATTTAATTTCTTAAATGGCAATTCAAGAAAGAAATTCGGATTATCAACACACAAACAGAGAATGTCTCATATCGAGAATATTTAACATTGAACATTGAAAAAATTAATTATTTTAATAATATGTGGAAATCTCCGCTTTTACCTGAAGACGGTCGCGAGACCAGAAACTCGTGTAGTAAAATTATGTAAAACAAAGCATAATATTTTTTTCCAAATAAATCCACATTACAACCAAAAACGTTTGCGGCACCTCTCTTCTCTTCTTTTTAATATACATACTTTTCTCTCGTTGGAACCACTACATTATATTTATATATATATATATATATATATATATATATATATATATATATATATATATATATATATATATATATATTATGAAATGGACAAAGACTGACAATTATTTTAATATATTTTCTGTTTATACGCTAGTTTTTATACATACACATATTCAAGTAAAAGCTTTGTTTATAATAAACAGTATTAACATCATTTACCGGTCTGAATGCTCGAGAATCTTCGTAGAAAATATATGCCCTTCGACAGGAATCGAACCTGTACCCTACACGAAACCGTTATATAGCCTGGTGTGCTATACCTTTTAGCTACAGCGGAAGCATCCGGTTAGCAAAGTCGAATTACTACTTTTAAAGTACAAATTTTCCATGAATTATCTCGAACGCTCTTATCTACTCGGAGCGTAAATTAAAGTAAATAAATTACATCATATATTATGAAATGGACTAATATATTTTCTCTTTACACTTATTCTTATAGATACTAATATATAAGTAAATGCTCTATTTATAATAACCAGTATTAACAATAAGCGTCTGGTTAGCAAAGTCAAATTACTATTTTTACTAAACAGATGCTTCCTCTGCAGCTAAATGGCATAGCACGTCAGGCTATATGACGGTTCTGTGAAGGATACAGGTTCGATTCCTGTCGAAGGACGCATATTTTCTTTGAGATTTTCTGGGACATTCAGGCCAGTAAATATCGTTAATACTGTTTAATATAAACAGAGCATCAGACTTGAATATTTGTATCTATAAAAATAACGTATAAACAGAAGATAATTTAAAATAATTGTCGGACTTTGTCCATTTCGTAGTGTGTGACGTCATCTGTTTACGTTTGGATACGCATCGAGCAGACGTGAATGTTCAAGGGAAATCATGGAAGATTGTATTTCATAATATATAATCTACCACTTCGTCTCCAGCCCCTCAACCTCCGTCGTCTTCCCCTTTGGGTTGAGGTGTCCACCCGATCCGAATCGAACTTAGGGGTAACTGGCCGTACGCTCCTTGAGTACCCGTAGATTATTTCGACCGGTCAACTGGTCAAGTCCCGCTTGCTGCCCACGCTGTGTTAGTTTTTAGATCCAGTAAGCGGGGTGTTGTCCATACGTTCAAGGTCGACTGGGGGTGTGGACACGGCTGTGAGAGTTGGTGGGAAGTTTAGAATGTGGCAAAATAAAACAAGAAATAATATCTGTAGAAGCCAGCCAACAATGGGGGAAATATTGACGTCTTTTATGTAAGAAGATAACATCAGAACAGAGGTTACAGGGAGAATAAAAACATTTACCATAAATGAGAAAAGAAAAAGAAAAAGACACAATGCATCCAGCGAATTTCCAACAGAGAGAGGGTTTGTGTGTGATAAACGCGTATTGAATCGCCTGGGGTAGATTTATGACTAGTAGTCCAGTCTCATACAGACTTTTCAGAACAGGGGTCAGTCTTCCTTCTCTAATTCTCCCGCAAATCTCTCGGGACTCTCTCTGACGACGGTCTCGTTCCCCGACTCTCTCTCCCGTCTCTCTCTTCCGTCTGGCCTCTTCCGTCTCGTTCGACCGTCTCGTTCTGAATTCTCTCTCGACTGCTTTTCCCGGCTGCCTTTCCCGACTGCCTTTCCCGGCTGCCTTGTAACGTCGCAACCCGTAATGGTCGCCTGCGGGTGCCCACGCACGTGACGGCAATGTGCCGACCGATTACGGTCTCTCCCGTCTCTCTCTCCCGTCTGGCCTCTTCCGTCTCGCTCGACTGTCTGCTTCTCTCTCCAGCATAACTACGCTGGTTTATATAGATAAATCTGTTTGATCATGAATCGACCCTTGGCCCGGCACGCGATTATCATGAGTGCCAAAAACTATCCCTTGACATGTAAACCGATTCTCCAATTATTTACCACGAGTTCTTCTTGCTTCGCCAAAATTATACATTGGGATATCTAAACATTGATTCAACCTTTTAATCAAAACAAATACTGTTAAACAAAACCAAATATCTCGTAGCCTGAGTAAGCTCTATTTCAATTTTTAACCGATAAATTTTATTTAGATCATTTTTTCATTATTTTTTTTCTAATGACCCAGATTTAAAACATCGCCTCCTGCATGAGATCGTGTTTCTCATCGGTAACCACACATCTTAACCCAAATTGTACTTCCAGTTAATAAAAGTTATATTTGCGTGTGTGCATTCATGTGAGTGTATATGTGTATACCTCTCTCTATTACATTATATTTTACTGTAAAATACCAGCAATACATTATTATATGAAAATTACCACAAAGACCCACCAGGCAACGTACAAAAGATCGATACATTTTCATTCCCTTCGTTGAAGAGGAATTTCCATTTGGACAGCTTTTACCAATGAACTTTTATTGAGTAGACACTTCCCTGAAACTTAAAATTTCAACCTCTTCGAATCTAGAGTCAACCCTTATCTATCCTACTTATCCTCATAATATGCACTTCTTACTTCTCCATAACAAGCTCACTCAGTAAAAAACTATCTTCAGTGGCTTTTGAGCCTTTTTTGGTTGAACAAACGTATAAATATCAGTCAGTTATACGTCATGCGTGATACACACTCAGGCGATCATGTATCTTTCGATACATGACTGACGAAGCAGATTTTTTTGCCGCAGTAGGTTGCCATTTCTTTCTGCAGTAGACCAGTTGTCACTTAAAGCTATAGAACCCGGTACTATTTACTCATATCTGGGGGGAGAAGAAAAAGATTCATACCTTTCCAAAGAGTATTAGCACGTAAGTGAATGTAATGGATTCGATTGAAATTCGAACTCGGATCTCCAATTCCTTAGTTCGAGCCACTATGCATTACTACACCGTGCCTGTATAATATATATGCTTTTTAAAGCTTTCAATCTGTTTAATTATTTACCAGGTTGATGAGGATGAGCCGCTATTCATGTCACTAATTGATGATTTATTTCCTGGGATGAAATTGGATAAGGCGGGTTACCCAGAGATGGAAGCTGCCATCGCTCAACAGGTGAGACGTGTGTTGTTTTATTTTTAGGTACCTGCTCAAAGAAAGAAACAAATGCCATTTTGCTTAAAGTATGGTTTCCTTGAGTTGTCTTAAGTTCTGATATGAAGCATTTTTATTTGTCTGTTTGACGGATGTATAACTGTATTCGATACAAAAGGGACGATGATGAAACAAAGTAGAAAGTTTCGTCGAGGCCGTCTGATCTCCTTGGCTTCCTAAGATTAAAATTAATTTTAATTACTATTTATCATCAGAGATCCTAAAGGTATTTTCTCTCATATACAGTAGCGTCCAAAACTAAGGGACAAAATTTTAAAACCTAATATTTGTTAGAAATAACAACTATGAAAAGCTGAAATTTTGACAACTGGTAGTCGTTATCATCCATAATAACATACTAAAATTTAAATCATTTGCAAAGGATAGAAAAAGAATTATAACAATTATTTATTTATTTTCAAATTTGGAACGTCCAAAAGTAAGGGACAAAATTGAGAAAAACAATGTAAACGGCAAAAAAACAATGAAAATACATATACAATCAATATTTAGTAAATGAGCCCTTGCTCTCAATGACAGCTGCACATCTTCGACTACAAGAACGAATCAGTTCTTGACAATCCTCGACACTAATTTTAGACCATTCTTCTTGAAGCTTCACCCACAAATCCTCCGTGTTAGTGGGATTTCTTTCCATAACTTTCACTCCTAAGGTCTTCCAAAGATTTTCTATTGGATTTAAGTCAGGACTTTGCGGTGGCCAATCCATAATTTCCAAATCTTGCTCGCTAAGGTAACTCATTACCACCTTTGCCTTGTGACATGGGGCATTATCTTGCATAAAGGTAGCCCTATCGAAACCTGAATTCTGTATGATTGGCACAACATGATCTTGAACAATGTTTTTATAGATCTGCGCGTTTACAAGAGTTTGTAACCGCACAAGAGGCGTTGTACCTTGGCTAGAAAACATTCCAAATACCATGACGCTTCCGCCCCCAAACTTGACAGTTTTCTTAGTACACTTTGCACTTAATCTTTCACCAATACGTCTCTTTACATTGTTATTTCCATCATTTCCAAATGAATTAAACTTGCTTTCATCACTGAAAAATACTTTTGCCCAATTTTCATATGTCCAAATTACATACCTTTTTGCAAACTCTAATCTCTTCTTCTTATTCTTCGAACTAACAAGTGGTTTCTTTCCTGGGGTTCGATTAAACAGCCCTATTTCTTGCAGTCGTCTACAAACAGTCTGTCTTGACACATTAACACATGAGGTACTATTCATAACCCTTTTAATTTCTGTGCAAGACTTAAAACGGTCCTTTAATGACATACGCTGCATTATTCGATCTTCTCTTGCCGAAGTTTTGTGGGTCTGCCGGTTTTAAAAGCACTAACTATTTTGCCAGTATCATTGTAGGATTTAACAACCCTGCCTACAACACTCTTGGAACGTTTCACTTTCTCTGAAATCTCTCTAATGGTGTGCTTTTCCTTGTGTAGCTTCACAATAGCTTGTCTCACAGAGTAATCAAGTTTTTGGCGTTTCGCCATGGTGCCGGCTGATGCAACGTTTACAAATGACTAAGTAAGACTAATTCTTTAGAGGAAATCAAAAAATTTGAATATAGCATACTGTTTACATTGTTTTTCTCAATTTTGCCCCTTACTTTTGGACGATCCTATTTTGAAAATAAATAAATAATTGTTATAATTCTTTTTCTATCCTTTGCAAATGATTCAATTTTTAGTATGTTATTATGGATGATAACGACTACCAGTTGTCAAAATTTCAGCTTTTCACAGTTGTTATTTCTAACAAATATTAGGTTTTAAAATTTTGTCCCTTAGTTTTGGACGCTACTGTATATTTTTGTCTTTCTTTCTGACTAGGTTGATGATCTAAAATTAATGTTATAGCTTAACCAGAATGTTTTCACTCATTCCAATTCATCAGCGGGTATTTTAACCTTCGCTTTAGCATTCATTTCAGCCATTAGAAAATACTCTAAACGAAAAGAATTTCATTTACTTGTAAGGCCACAAGAAGCTCAGAGTGAAGATCTTTGCTAAGAAAACAAGAAAATTCAGGAAACATAGAATTAACATATATTTTGGTCATTACAGAATTTCTAAATGAAAAGTATTTCATTTGTGTGTAAGACAGTAAAAGGCTCAGTGTAAAGATTTTTGAGGGAACAATTCTTTACTGAGAAAGAGAAAACTGCTCTGGAAGGATAGAATTACCATTTATTTCGGTCTTTGCGGAATTATTGAAAAAAACGTTTCATTTCCATCGAAGACCAAAAAAGTCACGGAAACTATTTCTTTGAAAAGGTTGATAAAACTGTTCTGGGGTATAGAACAATGAAACAGCATGAAATAGGCAAGAAAATAGGGACACCAACAGTAAAATGTCTTATAATAAAGTTTATAAGAAAATATAAAGAAAAAAATTGTCTTTTCTTTTAAAACCTAACAGATATTTGTAGTAAGCCTGTATATAGAGCTCCGTTTCAGAATTAGAATGAATGGATTACGACTTATACTCAGAAATCCCAAGGTATTTTCTCCCACATAAAATTTCACCTTTCTTTCATTTTAACCTGAGGAAGCCAAAGAGAGCAGACGCTCTCGGCGAAACGCGCCGTTAATAAAGTTTTCATTTTGTCTCATCATCTTCATTTATAAGTCATAAAATTATTCTGATTTCACTTAAGTTGTCTCTTCCAACTGTCAAATTAAGTGGTCCGCTCGTAAAACAAAACAAAACAAAACAAAACGAAAAGACAAAAAAAAAAAAAAACAGAAGTATATCAAAAAATATTAATTTCGTATTATTTTAAAATGGTAGTCTTTCATCGTGATACAGTATCAATTCAATCCCTAGTTTTTACAGAGTTATCTATATTTTGTTTTTATTTGTAAATGTCATATTTTAAACTGTTCTTACGGTATTGATAAATTCATAATACTGATGCTGTCTACTTATCCGAATTGAAAAAAATAAAGAGAACAATCCGTAAGTAAATAAATCTCTTTCACTCACAGTAGCACCTTGCGTCTTAGTGACATTATCGCCTTGCATGGAGTGAATTGATTAAATAAATAAATAACAATTAGTGGAACAGAAATTACGACACTGATTTATTTGAACCTGTGTCATCATCGCGATTGTTATTGTGACAATATTTTGACCATTCCATTTTCCAGTCTTCATCAGGTGCCCATCAGGAGATTATTTTAATTCCAAATTCACTAATTCGAATTTAGTAACTAAACTTTAAGTGGTTTTGGTTCAATGAAAAAAAAAAACTCTAACACAAAGACGAACTAACTAGGAATAATTTACTGCTTTTATTACAGCATTCAGGTCGTTTGTATGTTCTACGACCATTAACAGAGATTGAAAATAAGGAAGTATTGCTGCATAACCCCCTGGTGGGCGTAGTCTCATCTCGTCTTCTCTCGGCTGGCGATAGCTAGTTGATTTGGTTCGGCAATGAAAACTTTAACTTAACCATTTTATTAATATCGACATGTACTAACTATCCGGTGGGGGTTCTTCCTCATCACTGGGAAGCCGTTTCAGACACGAAAGAGAACAGTTCTACTTTCCTTGACGTGTAAGAACTAACTCACTGAGAAACCTTTCT